GCACTTGCGGTACGTGACACTCCTATGAAAATTATCAGACTGGATGATTGAGGCTGACTTGAATCGAGGCAAATTATACGGCGAACATTGCCTTGATCAGTACTGTCGGGCCAATCATCTCGAATATTAACAACGACCTGAGTAGGCCCTGATGTAGTCCGTTTAACCCTAATGATAATGCTGACACCTACACTTTTGCTAGGCGCTGATAAAAGTCCTACATGGATTATCTCTGCAAATTCGGTCGCTACGGGTGTGGGCGCCATTATGGCTGGGACAGTCTCGGAGTAAGTCACTTTTACCCTTGTCCGACCCTTGAAGATGTGACTAAGGGCTTGAATAAGTTTACTTGGCCGACGTTGGTTCACCATTGGTGGTAGTATATTAGGGACTGTAGGCTGTATAGTCGCGGCCACTGCACAAACTACATCACAGGGTAAGGATCCCCATATCAATGCTGAGATGTGAGAAGCTAAAAGGGACTTAGTTATTGCTGGAATGGCCATCTCAGGGCTCGCGGGAGCCGCGGGCCTAGTTACCTGGGCGTCTATGTCCGAGCTCGTGTCGAGGCGACAACGTGGTTGGGTCTTGTCGATTGTGAACCTTGTTACCGCTGGCTGGACAACAGCGGGATCTCTCCTCGGTCAGAAGCTGAGCCATCTCCCCAGAAGAACCTCAATTAACGTGCAGTAGGACATGCTATGCTCCTGACTAACCAAAGCTGGCGGATCGCGTTCTACGTCAGTCTTGGAGTCAATGTTCTCGCCACTATCCTGGCCTTCATGTACTATCGCCCGGCTCCTGCACTTGTTCTTCAAGTTCAGTCGAGACGCGATATCTTACACCACTTCGACTATGTTGGCCTTATCTGTGTGGGGGTTTGTTCCTACATTCTTTTGTCCTAGGGTCGAAGCTCACTCAAACAGGCCGGTCCCGTTCTGATCCTGATCGCCGTTATTTGGCTCGGTGGCACGTACCCGTTTAAGGAACCCCAAGTCATAAGTACCTTTGTCATTGGTGTCGTCCTAATCATCTTTCTCGCCTTCTACGGTCTGTTTCCCCAAGAGCTCCTGATTGGAAATCTAACGTCGGACTTAGAGGTCTACGTACCCCGAAATCCTTTGTTACACCCGTATCTGTTTAAGAGAGTGCGCACCTTCACTCTTCTACTGGCGGTCACTTTTTTCAGCGGGATGCTGTGAGTTCAACCCAGTCGCCCAACTAACATACGTGCTTGTCTGACAGCTATTCAGCTACTACTCCCTACTCACATTTCTGTCCCAGTATCTCTCGTTGGTATTTATTCAGAATAACTTGATCAAGCTAGGAGTATATCAGCTGCCATTTGGTTGCGGTACCAATTTTGGTGGTATCGGCATTGGCTTCTTGTTCGCCTGGCTTGGCCATACTCGTTTAGTCCTCGTTTTGGGGGTGATAATGCAAACTGTCTTCATTGGCTTGATGACCGTGCCAGGTAATGTTGATTCGTTTAAAGAGATTTGCCCTCCTGACCATATCGACCAGGGATGGACGATTTGGGCATGGCCGTTGCGTTCATCTTTCTGGCTGGTATAGGAATCGGTAAGTGGCTCCAAGGCAATACCAACTCTTTACTTCATACTCACCCCTTGCGTTTCAGGGCTAGAGCAAACCATCAGCATCCTGCTGGTTCAGCTCTCCACGCCTGAAGAATGGATGTGAGTCCGCCAGGATTACACCTAAGAGGTTTATGTCTAGTTGCTGACTTGGCTCAGCGGTTTTGCAACTGGCTCCCTCGCCACGTTTCGTTTAATGGGAGGTTCGGTCGGCACCGCTGTCTACATAACCATATTCACCAGTCGATCCACGAGCCTCGTGCCTCAACATATCCAGAATGCCGCGGTTCAGGCTGGATTACCCGAATCTTCGGTATCTCGACTCATCCAGAGTCTGCTAACCACAACAGGTGGACCGATCTCTCAGGTTCCGGGCATCAACGAGCATATCATACAGGCTGCGACCACTGCCATGAAGCAAGGATATCTTGACTCTTTCAAAGTCGTCTGGTATGTGGCAGTCGGAATTGGGTTTGTCACATTGATTTGTGCAGCATGCATCAGAGACGTAAGATGCCCTTGAAACCATGAATGGAAGCAAGATCACTGAAACATCATAGCTTTCACATACAGTTGACAATTCCGTTGCCCAGCGTCTTGACGGTGAGGAAATTAAAGTGAAGGGCGCACCTGACCTTTCAAACGCCGCTTAACTGGGGTTTTCAGGATGGCTACATACTACAGTGCAATGTGATATAGATTATATAAACCTATATACAATGTTTTCACATGTGAGAATGTGATTCGCAATGACCTTTTTGAGGTACATTTATCCTTAGTACTATTATTACTCAAGGTTCAAAGGGTGGGTCATAGTAGCTTCTGCGTTTTCGTAGCTCAGTCGTAAGACTCGCCATCAACTTTACATATTCCGTCGGAATAATGCTTTGACGGAATACAACGTAATTCCCCATCCAAGGTCCTGCCAGACTTCATGAACCCGATTCGCGTGCGGAGGCCGAGCATTAGATCAAACAAACCCGGGAGAGCTGGGCTTCGTAGACAGCGAGGCAAACTTAGAAGACGGGTCCTCAAAGTGTTGATTTCCATGTAAGAGAGCTCGTCTTGCCCTGCTATTTCAAATGCGCACTGACTGTTATACTCACAGCAACCTCGCCGCCACAATGTTTGCACCTGGAGCTGCCGAGCTCGCTAAGGAGCTCCATATCATCAGTCCTACTATCGTCAGTCTCACTGTGTCCATCTACCTTTGTGGCTTCGCTGTTGGGCCAATGTTCATTACACCACTGTCAGAACTGTACGGGCGCCTTGCGATCTACCACATCTGCAATATTCTTTACATTGGCTTCATAATTGGATGTGCTCTGAGCAAAAACACGGGCATGTTTCTCGGTTTTCGATTTCTTGCTGGATATCCTTCTTCGGGCCCATTAACAGTTGGTGGAGGGACTGTCGCCGACGTCGTCCCACCAGCTCAGCGTGGGAGGGTAATGTCTGTCTTCTTCGTGGGACCGCTTCTGGGACCAGTAGGTTGCACTATCTAACGCAAACAGTCTTCATCCTGACGGTCCTGCATGGTATTGGGCCCAATTGTTGGTGGCTTTGTGTCCGAATCAATCGGCTGGCGATGGACTTTTTGGATCATCACAATCCTAGTGTGTAGGGCCGAACCCCTCCTACTGTCGAGTCGCTAACGGATCGACTTAGGCAGCAGTGTCATTCATCATATCAAGTTTCTTCCTCCGCGAGACCAATGCCGCTGTGCTTCTCGGGAGGAAAGCTGCTCGCCTCCGGAAAGAAACTGGCAATGCTTCTCTGATGTCCAAGATGGACCAGGGCATCCCCCCCCCGCCAGCTATTCCTCCGCGCAGTTACTCGACCAACAAAGGTTCTCATCCTGTCGCCAATCGTGCTGCTCCTTTCACTCCTATGCGCGTTCCTTTTCACCCTCCTCTTTCTGCTGTTCACCACGTTTCCCACGGCCTTTGAGGAACAATACCATTTCTCCGCCCGCGTATTAGGCCTGTCATTTCTTGGCGTTGGAATTGGGATGATCCTCTCTCTCGCCCTGTTCGCCACCATGAGCGATAAACTGCAAAGGCACTTGGAGATTTACTCAAACCTGAAGGACGCTTGAAGCCCATGATGTAAGTCATGCCCACCAGTGCCCGTCGGCATCTTCTGGTATGGATGGGCAGCCGAAAAGCAGGCTCATTGGATCGTGCCTATCATTGGCACCTCCTTCATTGGATTTGGCCTTCTCTGGGTCATAATGCCGACTCAGCTCTACCTGGTGGATGCTTTTGGCCCAGAGGCTGCTGCATCTGCGTTGGCTGCGAACGTGATTCTCCGACTTCTCTTTGCAGCTTTCGTTCCATTAGCAGGGCCGTCTCTTTATGCAGAACTTGGACTCGGTTGGGGAAATAGTGTCCTGGGTTTCATAAGCATGGCTTTTCTTCCTCTGCCCCACTTCTTCTATCTTTACGGAGGGTGGCTAAGAGAGCGTTTTGCTGTAAAGCTACAACATTTCTTGTCGCGATGGACGTGTTATAGATCTCTTCTCGAAGTTGCAGTCCATTTTTTTCTTCATGAACAACCTCATTGGAACAGCCCGCGACATGACTGCCTCAGGGGCTCACCTTGATACTGTGCTTCGAAGCAGAGCCCCAAACAGTGGCTACAAGGGACCGAAAGGGCTGCAATAAAGACTTGGATGGTCAATTGTTGAGTGAATGGCATACCTTCCATTTCAGTGAGGCGAAGATAGAACTCAGCCAGCAGTTGCTGAAATATTAGATGAATTTTCCTGTACCCTCCGTCCTTCAGCAGGCTATGTTTGACAGTTTCACTTCGCAAAAGAACTGAGAGACCTTTACCGAAAGCTGCGACGGGCGTCTCTGCCTGTTGATCCTCTCAGGGCATGCTAGATCGCCTCCCGAGCGTCTTTGAAGCGGCCGCCATTTCAGACCGTCAACAAAAACATGAGTACGAGGTAGGCAGAAAGGTAAGAAACCACCAATGGGGTTGGGGCCACCGAGGTCACTCAATTCGTAGTGCAACCGTTCCAAATGTGGACTAGTGTGATCTCGGTGCCACTTGCCTTGCACGTGCCTTGTTAGCTCTACCTAGGTTTGTGATGTGACGGACGACAATAACGCCCAACACCTCGGCTCAAAACCTTGTGGATATCAATCAGTTTTTCGATCCCAGTGTTGCCCCATAAACAAGTGAGCTTAGTGACAAGAGAGAGAGAGAGTTTCTACCATGGAACAAGCACAAGCACAAGCATCTGTGCACCATGGTACCAAACGTCGCGCTTCAAAAGCTTGCCTGAGCTGCAGGGCACGTAAAGTTCGTTGTGATGTTATCGACAGACTTCCCTGTACCAATTGCCGACTTGATCGTGTCGAATGCAAAGTGGTCGAGTCACTTCGGAGACACAAAATGCGCGCGACCAAAACGTCAAGACGGCAGCGGACTACGTCAGATACCCTGGTTGAACAAAACCGCACCCGCCATTACAGTAACTTTGACAGTCTGAACGGTCTTTCCCGTGGTTTGACGGCGGCTCATGCGACCACAAATGTGCCTGATCACTCTAAACAGCATTCTTCGCCTTCCATCGATCAGTATGTTCTCAATGGGCGCAATGAGGAACGTGCAAACTTCGCTGTCACTCCACCAAGGCACAGTCGCGACAGGACGTTCCTGGCTGCGTCTGAATCTCCTGTTGCAGACCAGTCCAATGTCGGCTCTCACGAATTTGACCCTTCCAACGGGTCTCGTGGCGGAGGGAATGGCATTCACAACGGGCAATTCTTATCGCAACCTTCTCACACCTCACCAGATCCCAGACTGAGTCCTCGCGGAGGATCAGAGGATACTTTGCCAAAGTATATTCGAACGACCTCAGCGCGGCTGGACGCGGACGACATCGAACGTCTACGGGCAAAAGGCGCCTTTATCATTCCTGCCACGAGCTTGCGCAACGAGTTGCTACGCTGCTACGTCGAGTATGTGCACCCGTACATGCCGGTCCTTGAACTGGAAGACTTTCTCGACACGATCGAGAAGGGCGAAGCTACTAAAACGGTCAGCCTTCTTCTCTTCCAGTCTGTCATGTTTGCTGCGACCCCGTACATCGCGTTCAAGACTCTAGCTGCTCACGGCTATAACGACCGACGGAATGCTCGCAGGTCTTTCTATCTCCGGGCGAAGCTTCTTTGTGATATGGACTATGAGCTTGATCGTCTTACCTTGATCCAGAGCACTCTCTTGATGACGTATTGGAACGAAACACCGGATGATCCTAAGGACGTCTGGTACTGGCTGGGCGTGGCTATTTCGCTGTCCAAACGCATCGGGCTCAACTGTGAACCTCCTCCATACCCTCCTCGCAACCAGCTAGAGCGACGGCTTTGGAAGCGCCTATGGTGGTCATGCTATACCAGAGATCGGTTGGTCTCGCTTGCATTTCGCCGGCCCCCACGTATCCGCCATGACGAATTCGACCAGCCCATGTTGAGGCTCTCCGATTTGGAGACACGACCCTTGTCTGACAGAGTGAGCGAGATGCTTGGGTCTCAATGTCCTATCCTTAAAAATGAAGCTGCCCGGATGTTGTTAGCCAGACTATATATTGGCATGGCTGAGCTTTGCGTTTGCCTGACCCCGATTCTTGAGATGCAATACCGCAAGTCGAATCATATCTCTATCACTCAGACAACGAAGCTAGACGGAGCTTCAGAAGATATCATCGGCAATGCGTCAGATCTGTTGCAATGCGACCAGAGCTTGAAAAGATGGTACCAGACCCACGCGAGTTCTCTGCATTGCTTCAATGGTTTGCCGATAGATCACGCACCAGAAAACTCAGATCAAGCCTTGGAAGTACACAAAGCAGTTCTAAAGGGCTTGTATTTAACATCGATCAATATCTTACATCGGCCCCAAATTCTCTCCAGTGCTACTAACTTGGCCCTGGATCCGGAGATTCGAGATCTCTCACGGAGGAAGACTCACGAAGCAGCTAATGAGCTTACAATCCTGTATACAAACCTTTATGCCCATGGTTTGGTTCGATTCCTTCCCAATACTGCCATCACCTGCCTGCTCCACGCCGCCATTATCCACGTTCTCGACCAGGCAGTTGGCGACAAGGATATCCAACAAAGTGCTAGACGAAAGTTCGGTCTCTGCACGCAGACCTTGGATCAATTGGGCGAAACATATTCCTCTGCCGCGTTCGCGTTCTCTTTTCTTACAGCTGCCGCCAACAAAGTGTCTTCTCGACCGGAGCCAACTGAGGCTCGTATCAGAATAAGCGAAAGCATGCTTGGAGTGAAGTCCCAGAACGGAAAGGATCTCTCGCATTTTGGATGTCAGTTCAATGTCCCGCCCCCAGCATTCCCACTGCCTACCGGCGGCTCAACAGCCATTTCAGCCGCCGACTCGGAGCTGAGCAGAGCTCCTTCTCGGATGGATCTCCGAGGAGCGGCCCAGGGGCATGAGGATACAGCGTCCACTATGTGCAACGAAGGTGCTTGGAGACAACATCGAGTAAGTGTCGGCGCCGGGGATAACATTGCCATTTGTGATACAGATGACAACCAGAACAACATTAACTCCAATGTATGTGCGGTTCGTGGGGATGGGCGAACGGTCGACGGAATACAACAAGACTTCGACTGCTTCCTGGATATGGAAGGCTCTGCAGACTTTTTCAATCTGTCAGACGAGCTTGGAGTGAGCTTTGAGACGCAATGGGGCAACGGGTTGACACTTTGGGACCCTGCATCGCTTGAGACGAGAAACTTTTCTCAGACTACACCAAAATAGATTGACTAGTCGGGCAAGTCCATATCATGGGTGCTGGAGAGACATGATCCAGACCGTGGTGTTATACCTGAAAGACACGCAGTGATGGCGGCAGCATCAACAATGAACACGATAGCATACGAGTTGACAAGTTTCATATATCATACTATACGGTACTTTTTAGTCCAGCTTATTCTATGCATGCTTGTATCCACATCACGATAGACGCAAATCACCTGTGTGACATACTTGTTCAGCACGATCTTCATGTTTTGACTCTTTTATGCGGCCATGTTGATCAGGACGGTCTTCGGCTCCGTGAACAATCTCAACGCATACTCTCCAAATTCACGCCCAATGCCGCTCTGTTTCTTGCCGCCAAAGGGTGCTTGCAAGCTTTGCAGGCTGATACAATTGATGCCGACGACACCCGACTCCAAAGCTGCGGACACTCGGAGAGCTCGTGTAATGTCTCGAGTGAAGACACCAGACATCAAACCAAACTCTGTATCGTTAGCCAGTCTGAGGACTTCTTCCTCCGTCTCAAATGTCTTGATGACGCTGACTGGGCCAAAGATCTCCCGTCGGTAGATTTCCGCGTCGTCTCTGGGGTTCAAGAACACGGTGGGCTCCATATAGCACCCCGTCTCTCCGTGCTGGCCTCCTCCAACTATCAATTCAGCCTCTGTCTTTCCTCGTTCCACCATCGATTTAACTCGCGCAAGCTGCGACTCGTCCACCATTGGCCCCCACTTGACAGCTGGATCCTGAGGATCCCCCATGTCGTTCGCAGCATCTCCCATCCTTTTCTTATATTCTTGGATGAATTTGTCCGCTATGCTCTTCTGGACATACACCCGCGATGCGGCAACGCAAAGCTGCCCACTTCGTGTCAAGATAGCATTTATTGTCCATGTGAGCGCATTCTCGAGATTTGCATCCTCGAAGATCACGGCTGGACTCTTGCCTCCAAGCTCCAAGGTGACGCGTTTCAAGTTGCTTCTTGCGGCGGCCTCTTGAATCTTCCTGCCTGTGGCGACTGAGCCGGTAAAACTGACCTTGCGGATCCTCATATGTTCGGCAAGAAGGGCTCCAGTAGATCCAGGACCTGTAAGAACTTGGACAACCCCAGGAGGAAAGCCTGCTTTTTCGAAGAGAGCTGCCACAGCCAATGTCCCCAAGGGTGTCTTTTCGCTAGGTTTCACAATCAAGACATTTCCAGTGGCCAGTGCCGGAGCAGCCTTGAGGAAAAAGGTTGCTACCGGTGCATTAAAGGGGTTGATGGCAGCACAGACCCCAAGTGGCTCGTGCCGGACAATCTTGACAAAACCTGATAGTGTAGTGAGTACAGTTCTGGGCTACCAAAAGAGAACGCAATCAAGACTCGCTTACCGTCATCGGCGGGAAAATAGTCACCCCTCTGCTTGTCTGTCCATCCTGCATAATACAGCAGACAGTTTCTGATATAATTTCGCTCACGAACTGGGGCTAAGGAGACTGGAATTCCAGAGGTGAGTGAGTCCAAGGTGAGGATCGGCATGAGTTCCTTGTCGAGCAGTGTAGCCAATTTGAGAAAACACTCGGTACGTTGAATGGCCGTAAATCGACTCCATGGCCCCTGGAAAGCCTCTTCGGCGTATTTGACTGCTGCGTCGACGTCTTCAGGGCCGGCGACTGGAATATTCTCGACCACAACAGTGTTATCCTTTGGGTTTTTGAGGCTGTACGTCTCTGTGGCCTTGGCCGCGACGTATTCGCCGTTCAAAAAGAGCTTGGTGTAGCTCTTCGGATCCAGGACAGTCTTAGCCATTGCTACGATACTGTTTGATTCCACTGGTACGATGGCCTCGGTCGGAAAGGAGGTATTCACAGACACTTAAACCCCTTCCTTACCCAGCGGATCCACCTCGGCCCGATGGAGAACGAGCGCCGACATGTTACGTGCTGGCATTTGCCGATAACCCACCAGGCGGTCGCCGGTGGACCCACTTGCACCCGGCCTCAAACTCATGGCAACTTGACCTCGGACCAAGCCGACAATTCTTCCTCCTCCTCACGAGCGGGGGTTCCTTTATTATACCGAGAACTTCGTACATGTCGCTGCTCCTCCGGCATTCAGACTTTTCACACTGTACGCCGTTCAAACGACTACCAATGGCGGACCAAAAGGACCAAATGGACATCTGGGCTTTGACAGAATGGGATACCCCCTTGAAGAAGCTTCGCCAACCCATCCCAACTCCCAAGGGGACGGAAGTATTGGTCAAAACCACCCATGTCGGTGTTTGTCACTCGGACCTCCATACCGCTGAAGGATTCTATGATATGGGGGGAGGAAAGCGCTTTTATGTTAAACAGCGCGGTATCGAGCTGCCCGTTGCCTTGGGCCATGAAATACTAGGAGAAGCAGCTGCAGTTGGACCTGAAGTCGATTCCATCGTGATAGGGCAACGCTACATTGTCTATCCATGGATTGGTTGTGGTACTTGTGGGCGCTGTCTCCAGGAAAAGTACAATCTATGCGCCGGACAAAGAGCACTCGGAGTCCTTCAGAACGGCGGGTTTGCCGAGTATGTGCTGGTCCCCCATCCGAAATTCCTCATCGACCTAGGAAACCTCGACCCTATGGTGGCCTGTACATATGGCTGCTCTGGAATCACAACCTTAAGCTCCGTCAATAAGCTAATGCCTCTCCCACCGGATGAGCCAGTCCTCCTGGTTGGTGCGGGAGGGCTAGGACTGGCAGCAATATCGGTATTGAAGTCATTCGGGCATGAGTTCATCGTTAGTGCAGACATCAGTGACGATAAGCTAGCTGCGGCCGCTGCAGCTGGTGCGACAAAGACCGTCAACACCTCGGGTCCTTCTGCAGCTGAAGACATTCTCGCTGCCACTAACGGGCCTGTCACTGCAGTTATTGATTTTGTGAACAACACGGCTACCGCACGCATGGTCAACGATCTGGTTGGTAAAGGAGCTAGATGGGTCCAAGTCGGTGTCATGGGAGGCTCGCTTGAGTTGTCTCTCGTAGCGAACATTTTCAAAGGCCTGGCCATTTATTCTAATATCACCGGAAGCTTGGACGAGCTCCGGAGCATCGTGAAGATTGCAAAAGAAGGGAAACTGCCCGCTGTGCCGATCCAGAAGATGCCTTGGGACTCGGTGAATGAGGCGATGGACTTGTTGAAGGCGGGAAAAGCATCGGGGCGAATTGTGCTCACCAAGTGAACGAGATTCCCATGAGGAGAAGCAAATCGACGCTCACATTGTTTCTTTGGGACTGACGTCTCTATAGTAAGCCTTTCTAAAACTCTATAGTGAGACAGTAACTACCAAAGGATGTGTATAGAATTGAAGACCTGCCATCGCTAACATTCGTCTGTCAATTCATCCGAGCATGATCATGCTGCAACTGACGGCGAACCGAGTGCTATTTGACCTCCAGAGTGGATCGGGGCTTCTTTCCTTTCGACGTCAGTAGCCACGGAAGGCGAAAACTTCATGCTTTCCCATCCTGTCTTGGTCTCTTTGTCGAGCCACGAAGCCCAGGTCGAAACTCCGCCAAAGTAAAACAAAGGATCAATAGCCTTGCCAGGAATGTTGGCTCCCACAAACCATGCTTTTGCTGCCTTGGCCGATTCTGCAAACAGCGTGGCTTTGAAAGCTTCTCGTAGGTGATAAGACCAGGCATATGCAGGCTTCTCAGACACGTCAATGGTATCGAGTTTGTTTTCTTCCATATGGCGAATGGTCTTCCCGATCTAGTTTACGTCTATCTCTTCGACAACTAGCATGTTTCCAAACGGCACATTTAGGCCACAGAAGATGAACATGTTGGGAAAGCCCGGGACGAGAGCTCCGGAAAATGTTTCGAGCCTCCTTTCCCAGCAATCCTTCAGGACTTTACCTCCAGTGCCTTTAACCTCCAAGTCACTGAGCGCCCCAGTGGCAGCATCGAATCCCAGTGCAAAAATAATCATATCAAACTCATATTCGACCCCAGAGCCAAGACGAATGCCATTTTCGAACACATTCATATCATCACGGCTGACGTCTACCAGCTTAACGTTGTATCGATTAAACGCCTCGTAGTAGAAGTAGCCACATAGTGGACGTTTAGAAAGGAAGGTTTATTTAGGGTAGAGGGCTTCTACCGTCTCTAGGTCCTAGACGATAGCTCGAATCTTCTTTCGTAGGTACTCAGAGGTAATTTCATTTGATTTTAGGTCCGTGACAAGGTCATTAAAGGTCTCAAACTGGAAATGGAAGCTACCGGATTCCCAGCTAGAGTCTAGAATCTGTCTGATCTTGTCGGCATCAGCTAGGCCCTCTACTACCTTCACTGACGATACCATAGCTAGACCGAAGGGATGTTGTCTTGCGCGATTCCATATGCTATGATATTTTTGCTTGATAGCGGCTTTTTTATACTCATTAAACGTATAGTTTTGACCCGGCAGGACGTAATTCGGTGTGCGCTGAAACACCGTTAACTCCTTCGCTACAGGGGCAATCTTAGGGATGATCTGGACTCCTGTTGCACCGGTGCCTACGATAGCGACCCGCTTACCCCGAAAATCGATCGGTTTATTAGGCCAGCGAGATGCTTAGTACTATTCGCCGGTATATGACTTGAGCCTAGTGAAAGGAGGGTCTTTGACAATTGATAAAGGCCCCGCGGCGGGTACGAAGTAACGATAAGTTGTCGACGACCCTACTGTGGTGGTTATGGTCCAAGTTTTCTAGCTGTCACGGTAATGCGCGCTCGCGATACGTGTATCAAACTCGATCTTCTTGCGTAAATCAAAGTAGTCTATTTGACTAATGTTAGCTGGTGTGGGATTAAACACGGTTGTTTGGTGAACAATTTACTGACCAGTAATATGGCCCTAATATCGTTGGGCATCATCCTGTAAAGGATAGCGTTCACGATAATTCCATTCCTCCTTCAACTCTGGCGCGAAATTCATGCTGCACACCCAGGCCTCGCTGTCGTTTCGAGCCCTAGGATACCGATTCCAGTACCATGCGCCGCTAACATCCGATCCAGCTTCAAAGCACTTGACGGTCAGGCCGGTCTGGACAAGCTCCCATAGTGTCCGAATACCACCGAAACCTGCCCCGACGACAATAGCATCGCAATCGGTAAATTTAGCCGACATTATTTGCACAGTGTAAGGTCTGAGGATAATGATATTAGGGAACGTTTCCAGACAGGGGTGTAAGGTAAGGGGCAGCTTAAATACCACATGTGGTGAACTTAGCTGTATCTGTGACGCCCCTTATCCGATGATCGTGCAGTCAGCCTGGCTGCGTATCTTATTGTCGGTCGAGACCGAACTGACGCCGTCGAAACAAGAGGTTCATGCCAGCCGTCGCTCCCCCATGTCATTCTATATCGCGAGTGACCCGGCACCACCCGAAAAAAGCTCCACAAAATGAATGAGAGTTCGTCCATGGTATACGAACGTAAATTATTATATCGCAATCAATCTTGATCTTGACTCTTCGGAGGTGAGGCCGGTTCTAAAATCATATGTGTTCAGTGGTGTGGATTCCCCTAGTGGCTCGACGGTTACCCCAGTATGCTCAGTGTGGGGACGGATGGGGGACTTCAAGCACTTCAACGCCATGGGCCGGACTTCGCCCGTGATACAGTTCTCTTGTTTCACCTCGGCCCGAAGAACTGATTTATGTATCCCAGAACTTGACCCAGTCAACTCCTCCCTTGGTTTTCCTTTGGAACTTTTCGATGCCATGCCGACCTTCAGAGCCGGGCAGCATCATTTGTGCAAATTTGGTCCGGATCACATTTTCCTGTATGTCCGTTTGAGGGTGTGCCCACGCAACCTTGACCAAGTCCTTACATGCGGTAGCTGCTCGCGGGGCTGCACGTCGCAGTTGGTCCAAGTATTTTTCCACCAATTCCTCCAATTCCTCGGACGAGCTAGCTAGGCCGTGAACGGCACCGATTCGGTGTAGTTCGGCAGCGTGGACTTCCCTGCCACTCAAGATCGCTTCCCGTGCGAACGAGGGACCCCATTCTCGGACCACGAATTTCGAGATGATTGCCGGTGCCAGGCCGAGTTTGATTTCGCTCAGTGTCCATCGTGCTCGGGACGAGACCAGCCGCACGTCGCAGACGGTGCTTAGGCCGACACCGCCAGCGTAACAAGGCCCATCGACCACCGCGATGGTCGTTTGCGGACTTTCATCGATGGCCTGAAAGAGGTCGTATACCTTGGTATAATACCCATCTTCTTTGGCGGTGTCGCTTGTTTCTGTCCCGCCGCTCAGGTCCATACCCGTACAGAAGAATCGACCTTCAGAAGCCAGGAGGATATGAAAAACGGTGTGGTCCGTAGCCAGGTCACGGTAGAGCTGGGTTAAACCTTCGACCATTTGACCGGTGAGTGCGTTGCCATTTCGGTCTCGCGTGAGCGTCACCTTGACAACAGGGCCGTTTCGGGCGACCCGATAGTTGCCATTGTCTTCAATCGTGGTCCAGTCTCTCCTGGTGGAACTTTTTGCTGCTGGAGATGATGGTAGTTGAGTTCCGGCTCGAGATTTGGCACTGAGAGCCGCACCAGCACGGCTGCCATTTGGTATTCCCAGCTGTCGTGAAATCCATTCCCCAGTCTCGACGAGCTTGTCTAGATTCACGCCTGTCTTCACACCCATCCTGTCAAAAAGGTACACAATGTCTTCTGTTGCGAGGTTACCTCTCGCTCCTACGGCGTAGGGACAACCACCGAGGCCAGCGACACTACTGTCGAACGTTCGGAGACCCATATCGTAGGCCCTGACAACATTTGCCACGGCCTGCCCGTAAGTGTCGTGGAAATGGCCTGCAAGTAACGATACTGGGTGCCGTGCAAAGAGATACTCGAGCAGTTTTTGCGTGTCGTACGGCGTTCCCACCCCGGTTGTATCACCTAGGGCGACCTCGTAACAGCCCATGTCGAGAAGACGCCTGACGACATACTCGACTTCTTGTGGCTGAGTTGGGCCGGTATATGGGTCGGCAAAGATGCATGAAACCACTCTGGATGGTTGGACTCGTTAGTGAATAATCGAGTGGTCAATTTCAATCTGTTTGGCTAGATTGCTCTTACCCTCGAACCAAGATCGAGCTTTCCCGAGCCTTCGTTGTGACGCTCTCGGCCTGAGCAAGTGCCTCATCGATGGTACAATTCTGATTAGCCTTACTGAATGCTTGAGAGGCAGACGCGAACACGACGACCTCTTTCGCCTCGCTTTTGCTTGCATTTATCAACCCCTTCGTGTTGGGTGCCAGCACGGGAAACGTCCTTTCGGCGTCTGTCATCAGAGGTCGAATCTCCCGCATAACTTCGGCGCCGTCAGCCAGCTGAGGCACCCATTTGGGGGAGACAAAAGAGGTCGCCTCAATATCTCGCAGGCCAGTGGCTGCTAGCCGCCGGATGAGCTCTACTTTCGTCGCAGTCGGGACAACATTCTTGATGTTTTGAAGGCCATCGCGAGGCCCAACTTCGAGAATCCGAACATCACGCCCTCCACTAAATGCCCCGACTGATTTGGAGTAGCAGCGAACTTGGTGTCTCGACAGCAATTGAATCCTTTGGCGGGATTGATGGGCGGACAGCCTGGTGTTGAGGCAGGTCAATCGCAGAGAGCTGGAAGGTTGACGTAGCGTAGCCATCTACTGCTTCAGTGATACGATTAACAAGCAGCAGATGTGAAGGCCGTGAAGGGGTCGAAATGCACGCTTTAGCCACCACGAATGGGAACATTGAGGGGGTTGCCGACCGCTACCCGAGGAGAATCTAGTGGCAGAAGAGGCTGCGGGCCGAGAAAAGACAACCAACTCGTACAATGACACGACGATCTCTTCACGCAAATTGAGCCTCGGGATACGTCCGTCTCCAGAGCCTTTTCCTATTCTAATGTCTCGAGGCTGTGTACCTGATCCCCGAGCGGAGAAAAGGTGCATCGGTTGGCTAAAGTTCCCCACGTCGCCTGGGTATCGAGCTTTCCGAGCGTCCTCCATCTCCATCGACAGCACAATAGAAAAATATCCTGACACCACATTCCCAAGACGAGCCAGCTACAGTGATCATGAAACCACTTCGAGGTCCTTCGTTCTCCCGGTGGTCGGGCACTGCGAGCATAAGAAAGCATCCATTCCTGGCGAACTCGTGCAACTGCCCGACTCCCGCAAGATTCTTGAACACTCTACCAGAGACCAAAAATGAAGGGCCTCTCAAGGGCGTCAGAATTCTCGATCTTTCGCGAGTCTTGGCTGTAAGTCGGGCGAGCAGAATCCGTACACGCTGGCTCCCTTACCTGGGCCATGCTCTGACCCTCATTTAGGCACCCCTATGCACACAAATTCTCGCAGACTACGGTGCGGAGGTCATCAAAGTCGAAGATGTCGGTAAAGGCGTGAGTAATAGCTCTTCGTCAGCGATTCATTTGGAATATTGACATTGAACAGGATGATACCCGGTACTGGAAAGTGTCAGGTGAACAAAGCGCCTGGAAAGAAGACAGTGGCCCGGTGTCAAACTATTTTGCGGCCGTCAACAGGAACAAGCGATCGATATGCCTGAATCTGAAAGACCCAAGGGGTCGAGATATCTTTCTGCAGCTTGCAAAAAAGGCCGACGTTGTGTAACCATGCCCCTTTTTCTTGTTCTTGTTTTCCTTCTTCAATACAGAAGTTTTGACTCCTTTATTGCAGCGTGGATAACTTCCGCCCGGGAGCCTTGGACCGGCTAGGGCTCGGGTACGATGTACTGTCAACAATCAACCCTCGAATCATTCACGCCAGCGTCTCCGGTGAGAGCACCTGCCAGCATTTTCGTTTTGGCATGCAGGGGAATAGCTAACCCAGACAGGTTATGGATCCGTTGGGCCATTCTCGAAACGAGCAGGATATGATATGATCGCTGGTGCTGAAGCTGGTCTCCTGCATTTGACGGGGGAACGTGGGGGCCCTCCTGTGAGGCCTGGTCTCGGTCTCACAGATATGTGCACAGGATTATTTACTCACGGGGCCATTCTTGCAGCCTTGTACGCGCGAGAGATAACCGGCAAAGGACAAATGGTAAAGGCTTCCTTGTACGAAACACAGGTCGCCCTCCTTACCAATGTCGCATTGGCTTGGTTGAATCTGGGCCAGGAAGCAGAGCGCTGGGGAACACAGCATCCCAGTGTGGTCCCTTACGACGCATTCAAGACCAAGGACCTATATTTTGTCTGCGGAGCAACCAACGACAGCCAGTTCAGGATCCTCTGCAAGCAGCTCGGCTTGGCCGATCTGGCCAACGATCCCAGGTTCACCACCAACGCTGATCGTGTCAAAAATCGTGACGAGCTCTACCCAGTCCTGAACCGTGCCTTCAAAACGAAGTCAACGGACGAGTGGATCGAATTATTTGAGGGGAGCGGACTACCATACGCACCTATCAACACGATGGAGCGTGTCTTTGATCATCCACAGACAAAGGCGACGGAAATGGTTCACCAGTTGCCGTTCGATGCTGCCAAGTCAGGGCAGCTTAAGTTACTCGGTGAGTGTGGAAGACCTTTTTGGCTTTTGTCAGTCGTATGGAATCTCTGGCAGTCTCTGACATCCATGCAATAGGCCCAGCAGTAAAGTTCAGTGGTACACCGGCTTCCATACGAACTGCGCCACCACTACTTGGAGAACATACCGATGATATTCTTCGAGAACTGGAACTGTCACAAGCGGAGATTGATGATCTTCATGCTAGCAAGGTTGTTTGACGACCGCTTCGAGCCTGGTTTTGGGAGTTAGTAGAAAATTATGGCCCGGGCCGTTGATTACTATATCTTAGCCGGTCACTATATACAGCTGGCATGCGATTGTGATCTACGGAGACGACATCTACACTCACGTATTCTCTATTTCAAAACGAGGCTCCTTCTCAGCATAGATTGTCCCGTCCGTGGACCAGCGTGACCTTCCTTGCACGATACATCTTGTCATCTAAGGAGTATCCCCAACCCGGTAGACTAACTTGCCCGAGCGAACCTTTCCGTCTTGAAGGTCTTTTAATCCCCGGATAACACCTGCCAGTCCACCATCCCCAACCAAGACCGGGTGTGTCTTCAACTTGCCCTGTTCAACGTTCTAGTGAGGAAACAACACTCATTG